TTGTGTGAGCGGCTGATGCCGATAACCTGGAGTTGTGTGAGCGGCTGATGCCGATAACCTGGAGTTGTGCACTCCAGCCTCCCCTGCTGCACTCCAGCCTCTCCTGCTACACTCCAGCCTCCCCTGCTACACTCCAGCCTCCCCTGCTACACTCCAGCCTCCCCTGCTGCACTCCAGCCTCTCCTGCTGCACTCCAGCCTCTCCTGCTGCACTCCAGCCTCCCCTGCCATACAGGCCGATGACCCGCACCTGACGGTCATCTCAGCCTTGGGTTTTGGATCGCTTTCACGGTTTACATAAGTTGTGTCATCGGCTTTTTGCGCGCTCGTATCATTGGAATAAGGTCTACACTACAGACAGCAAATTACCCACGACGTCGTTCACTAGAGTCAAACCCACGCTATCGTTATTTACGGGGAGAACTGTAGATATTGCCACTGCTCCATTCAGTTTTTTCGTATTGTTGCATTGTTCAATTTTTTCGTCAATGATTCTTTCAAATATTAATACAATTCAACTTCAAAAAATCATCGGTGAATATACAATCCGAAGAGATTGTTGCAGTGTGTATATATTGAAATAACTTGTTAATTGTTACAATCCTGATTTTATTTCAGTTGGGTACTATGAAACTTTGCGGATAAAAGGTTGAGTGTCGATAACTCCCGCGTCTCGTCTGTTTCTGGATACCGAAAATTGTTAACTCCTTCCGCTTTGTCAATTTACCTCACTAACCACTTGCTTGTTTGTATAATTGCGATTTTGAACATGTGGTTGCGTTGGGCATTGAACTGCAACCTTACTGTGCGTGTCGTGCGTAGGTTCCCGTGCGTGTCGGTCCTGTCCATTCTTCTGGGCACGGCTACGTGATGATATGTTGGCCTTGCCCAGCTCACGTAGGCACGTTACTTATGTGGCGGCGTCTCGTCGGTTTTACCCAATTTTTTCATGGCTAAAGACTGAAGGCCCTGAGGTGTGGGCTGGGATGGTTGCTGCGAACCAGGATTGCTGTCATCTTTGTTCACACGAGCACCTCAGCACCAGGAACGTAATATAATTATTACAACTCCATAAATTTAATATAACTGTTATTATAATTATTGTAACTCTAGTTTCTAAAATTAATTTCATCCTATGCCTAATGTGAGTTTGTCATTGCCTCCTCCGAAATGGAACTTTGTGTTATAATGTAAACTAGTGCTCGCTCGTTTTTGTTACCGCTTATTTAGGAGGTATGTAGCGTTGAGCTTGGAATGACACTGAGAGCCTGTTCTAGAATACTTATAAGTGACGCAACCATTCATACGTCACATAACGACCTCCAGCATCGTTGTTTGAGTCACGCTATTGGGACTGCGTGACGCCCCGTACCTCCTGGTGTAACGACCTGTCACATCGTGACGCGTGTAAATTTCTCCTTACGCAATCATTTTCTCGAATTCATGTCTCTCTGTGATGTGTCTGCACTTAGCCTCGGCCTTGGCATCTCGCAATTGAGGAGACGTCTGGTGCCGGCAGGTCATAAGTGTCAATCTTCGTGATCCTTCAGCGCTGCAGCGAGCGCATTCCTGCATTGACCTGTAAATGTGGACGCCCATACGTAGCGCATATCGTGGACGGATGTACGAGACTCGTGCATGTACGTAGACTGATTTATGTGCACCTTCAGACGTGGACGCTTGTATGTGGACTCAATTACGCGTTGACGAATATACGTCGACTATAATACGTATACAAAATTAGGTGGTCTATGCGTGCGTAAGAATGTACCTACGTACACGTATCGACGTACCCGCACGCACCCATGTATATGTACCTATTTAAGTGACCGACGAGCATTTATTTGCGTGGTTGTCGTCAGCCCCACAGCCCTGGGTTCCCAGCACGTTTTCTTCAGAATTAAATGTTGCATCATATATTGCAATAGTGAGTCCTCGAAGTGAACCTAGACGAATCTTTCAATCACTTGCCATGTTTTTCTTTGATCTTGATCAGGAAACTCCGCACTTCACGCATCATGGGCTATTCTGAATCGAATTTTTTTAATTGTGACTCTCCATAAATTGCATGACCATGTAGCTGATTGCTATGAAAAAGCTTCATTCTATTCTCATATTCGATTAATGCCATTAATCGAATTCTGTTCTTAAACCGCCTAAATGTTATCAACTCTCAATTTTGTTCTTGAGTCGAAATAGTCGAGGTCGGTCTTTTTTCTGTTGTCGCGTCGAAGGAGATAAGGTTAGTTTTTATTCTGTACTCCGTGATTGGTTGAGCCTCAAGCTTTTTTTTCAATAATCTGAATAGATGTATATTGGATTCAAGACCTAAAAAGTTACTTGATTAAGCACAGCCCAGTGAGTGAAGGCTGAGGAATTTAAAGTTAAGCTTCAAATAGACATAGCGTTTACTGTTACAATATTGATATATATTATATACTATACAATATTGTGGATTGTAAATATTACAATCCACAATAATTCAGTAATTCAATGGATAATATGCCGTAGCAGCAACCGTTATTAGGCACCTAAAAAATGCAAACACCTGATCGGATGCAAAATTGGCTTGCTTGGTCGCCGACGGCGTCCGTCAGGCTCGGGAGACGACGGTGCAGCTCTTGGACTGCCGATAATAGCTGCAGTGCGCTGTGCAGAACTCTGGGTGATGTGAAGGACCAGCTGTTGCCACTTGTCAGGGGTGCAGATCCCTTTGCATGCCTGGTTTGAACGAGAATTTAGACCGTGTAGGTTCGTGATATATTTGAGTTTTTGAATCCCATATTAGGTTTTTGAGTGTTACCAAGATTTAAGCAGTGCGGAGTGTAGGAAGAAAGGGCGGCATCTAGCTGCTCCTAGGCGCTTTGCAGTTCGCGTCACGAACAAGTTTAATTGAGCGAATATAAGCTACGAATTTCCGTCGAACGAGAAGTTTATAGTGACGTAGAAATGACGTCCGTACGCGACTGACGTTACGGACCATCGCGTTACGAGGAGTCAACGTCACAACCAAGTTCGATTGATTGACGTAGCGCCGTAGCAGATGAACGTGACCATCATCAGTGAGTTGGTTGAGCGAGGAGATGGTACTCGGACTTTTCAACATAGCATTAGCATAATAACCAAGTTAGATGGCCATGGAGAGGATAAGCGCTGACCGCTGCTGTGCTCCTTACGTTGAGGTTACGCTATTTAATTTCCTGGCCTATTAAAGTGGAAGCTAAAGCCCGGCATTACGGAAACGATGTATATTGTTGACGTTTGCTGTTGATTGAAACGATGTCTCTCTCTCTACGCTGCCCCCTCTATGGTGCCCCCTTTACGCTGCTTCCTTTACCCCGCCTCCTTTACCCCGCCTCCTTTACGCTGCCCCCTCTACGCTGCCCCCTCTCTGCCCCCTCTTCTGTAGCGTGTCAACGAGACCAATGAAGTGCCTGCCCCCAATGCTAGCGACCGCTCACTGTGTCGCGAACTTGTCCAAGCCATGCATAGATGCTCCCTTGACCTGGACTGTATTTATCGCCAGCCTCTTGTTCGCTGCACACGTGTCCAGTTTAACTGTTCTATAGCAATTAATAAGTAACTTTTAATTGATAAGTAACTTTAATTTTAATTAATAAGTAGCTTTAACATTGTGCTCATACTCTACTGTGTGTAATTTGCCATGCGATATAGGTATTTGGATCTTAATTCCTGTAGATTTGCTCGTGAGTGATTATTTATTCGAATTCAGTGTAATTCCGGGGACCGATCCCGTTTTCCTGTGTATTTATGATGCGGTTCATACAATTTGTAAGATGATGGAGTAGTGTGACTGGGGCGGATAATCTTTTCTCAGTAATCATTTCTCTTACGAATGACGGGTCTCACCTTGAGATGTAATGCGTTGCTTCTAGAAAATGAAAGGTTGACAAAAGCCCCTACTGCATCATGAGTAAGTGGCCATGAGAAGAAAAGGTGCTCGGTCTGCAGTCGACTCAGGTTGTCGATAGTTGGTTTAATTATAAGTTGTGAACAGAGCGTTCGGCTTTTAAGCTTGAGCTATTGTTCTTGTCGGTGCCCTGAATTACTTTGAAGCGTTCAGCCGTTATCAAGATGACCACTGCTGATTACAATGAACATTTCACGGCCGGAATTATCTTATCGATCTATATACCTAAACGAAGAGCTCTCGCTCCTTCGTTTTCATTACGATATTTTTTAGCTGGAAAATATCTCTTGTGATTGATAGTCAAACTTCAGTTATTAATGCACTATGCGAGTTTTTCTTTTATGATTATTATTATTTTTGTACTTCCATGTTTTTCATTATTGTTTTCATGTAATATTTTCTCATGTCATTCACTTTGAAGTTATTTGCATGAACAACCGCTTTAGCATTGGAGGCGTGTTAGCATAAAGAGAGCTCTGTAGCTGTGGTCAATACTGCAGCAATAAGTTATCTAGCGACCAGCTGATGTCTGGTATCGAGCTCATGCCGTGTCTGGTATCGTGCAAGCAGTGCCGCGCGTCCTCTGCAATCTGATAAGATATGGACACTCCGGCTGATGAAAGTCTACGAAGGTGGCGGTAGCGGAACCTGCTTTACGTAACGCGACGTCTTGGCTTCAGGTTTACCTAAATAAACACTATGAACGTCCGCAACGTCTTTCATAATCGCAGGGCAAGAATTTAATTTGGATTTCAAATCCTGGCCACGTGAGATCTTTCTGAAATTTTAGCTGACGTTTGTCAGTCGATCATTGGCCTGCCGGTCGTTAGGTTGTCCACAATATTGCTGAAAACGTACGGATGTTTTCTCAACTCGTGATGAGTGCCTCGAGAATTTTAAAATAATTAATCATGTCGATAGTTTAGTGGAGTGTATGACGTGCAAGAAATATTGTGTACTATGTACTTAATTATTCAATCCTCAATTGATAAAAAGTGTGTTTACATTCTTAGCGCTTGACACTCTCCCATGTCTGAAGATGAGATACTTAATGTAATCTGATTTTGCAGGTAACCGGAGAGCAGCGGCTCAACACCAGCTGCCGTCTCCAATTTATTCTGGTCCTTCACTAAACGGGTGTATCGTCGTCGAAAACGGTCATTCAGCTAACGGTTCCTCTGCTGCCGGTCTTTCAGCTAACGGCTCTTCATTTAACGGTCTTTCAGCTAACGGTCCTGCAACGAACGGTAGTTCAGCAATCAGCCCTTCATCTAACGCTCCTGAAACGAACGGTCCTTCAGTAGAAGCCAAGACTTTCAACGGTGTTCCATCAACGTTCTTGTCAGGGGAAAATAATTCTAGAACGTACATCCCGAATGGTGACGTTGTAAACTGTGCTCCTGATGACGGATACTTGTGTCAAACTAACGCCAAAGAAAAAGACTTGCCCTCAATCTCTAAGAAATTCTCTCTTTCAGATTCTGTTCAATTTAGGTCTATAGAAGCTAATTACAGTGACATAAATTCTCCTAACAATAAAGTAGAAATTATCAAATCGTTGCGAGACAAGGATAGTTTACGAAACGGATCATCTGATCTTTTTGCTGTGCAATCTTGTGCTGAGGACATCAACTTGAGCGAGCCTTGTGACCGCGTGTCTAGAAACTGTACTGTTGTTGAGCTCGGCGTAAGTGAAGACAAACCCATCCTGCGCGACTCGTGTTACGGTCAAGTCAACGGAAGCTATTGTGATTTAAAGAAGAGTGATCCCGCTGTAACTTTAAACATGCCTCCTAACACAACGAACGCTCGAGGAGCTGCTGGACCAGCGCCCTCTACCGACGACGTGGGCGCTTCAGCAGCCTCCAACGGCCCGCTCGGCAGCGAGAGCTTGTCGTCTCAGCTCATGCACTCACCACACCATCTCCCACGTGAGACCTTTTTGTTGATTTATTTCTCGAGTTCATACAAAATTGGCTTGTTTTATTTACAGTTTTTCGACTTGAATCATTTCCTCTCGTGGTTCTTCTCAAATGTCCGGACATATATTTTTTGCAATGTCTCTCTGCTGTAAACAATTCTTGAGATCCTTTTACGTTTATTGAAGTTCTTGGCTGTGTTGCCCTGCCTAAAGTTCTCATGACGGTCGCCGTGCAGAGTTCTCATGGAGCGGAGTGGAGTCGGTAGCCGAGTTCTACAGAGGGCGTGCCCTGCTGATCACGGGGGCGACAGGCTTCATGGGGAAGGTGCTGGTTGAGAAGCTCCTGCGTTCCTGTCCCGCCGTCGGAAAAATCTTCCTGCTCATGAGATCGCGCGGCACCAAGGACGTTCAGACGCGCCTTCAAGAGCTACTCAAATCCCAGGTACACATTTTTTTAAACGCTTCCTTCCATTAATGCCATTCATCAAGAGCATGAATATGGCTTGCAATTGTCCAACGTTTCTACCATGTACCGCTGTTACTGTCGCCTAAATTAAGAACTCGAGTTGTAGAAGGTGTAAGTAAAATCTGGTGTAAATCCACATTAAATTCACGCGGAATTATTCCATCATCATTAACACTTCATTGCATTAGTTACAACGTTTATCATTGCGTTGTTAATGGCATTCAAGTACCACTATCATTATAAATAGAAGGCTTTATTTATACATATCTTAGTTCCCTTGATTATTTAAACTTCCCACTTATTCTCCCAGTGAAATTAACCCGAAGTACGCATTCTTCAAAATGGAAGTTATTCTGTTTTTAATAAAGTAACCGACCAGGTTATGCTTAATTGTTGCTCGCTCAAGATCACTAGAAATTAAGGATAGTAAAATAATTTGTGACAATGAAACAACGTTTACTGATACAATAAAGTTTAATGTTACTCGCTTAAAAGCATTGAAAATATATACAAGGTAGAAAAACTATTTGCATCCTTAAACAATGAAGTATTATTAATTTTTTGATGAAGTTCATAGTTGGCGCAAAGAACACATAGCTACATAAGTATATACGCCTGAACACATAGGGAGGAAGACAGGCTGCCAATGAAGTTGGTATTTCGCAATTGATCTGCCTTATCTCGAGGCCTCGATGCAAGTCCAAAGTTTTACCGATAGCTCAGCAATTGTTTTTACTTAGTTTTTTCTCTGGTTGTCTTCGGGCCTCCGGTTGTCCACGGGCCTCCGGTTGTCTTCGGGCCTACGATGGCCCACGGGCCTCCGCTTGTCTTCGGGTCTCTGGTTGTCTTCGGGCCTCCGTTTGTCATCGGGCCTCCAGTTGTCTTCGGGTCTCTGGTTGTCTTCGGGTCTCTGGTTGTCTTCGGGTCTCTGGTTGTCTTCGGGCCTCCAGTTGTCTTCGGGCCTCCGTTTGTCTTCGGGCCTCCGGTTGTCTTCGGGCCTCCGGTTGTCTTCGGGCCTCCGTTTGTCTTCGGGCCTCCGTTTGTCTTCGGGCCTCCGTTTGTCTTCGGGCCTCCATTTTTCTTCGGGTCTCTGGTTGTCTTCGGGCCTCCGGTTGGCCACGGGCTTCCGGTTGGCCACGGGCTTCCGGTTGTCCACGGGCTTCCGGTCTTCGGGCTTCCGGTTGTCCACGTGCCTCTGGTTTTCTTTGGGTCTCCGGTTGTCTTCGGGCCTCCGGATGTCATCGGGCCTCCGGATGTCATCGGGCCTCCGGATGTCATGGGGCCTCCTCACGCCCTCGTTAGGATACTCTTGAAATTGCTGTCTATTATTTCCGTGATGGACATGTACGTGCTCTACTGACGCTGTTAATGGAGTCAAGTGTTCTTCACTGGACGCGTTATCTCCATCTGACGCACTGACCATCTGCTTGGGTTATCTTTTGTGTTCTGTCAGTAAGCTAATGTCCCGGTTTTACTTCATCAAATTTTTTTCGTAATTGTGCTGTGCTTCATTGCTGTCTCGAAAGTTTTGCCGATGCTGTTCTCTTATAACCGTATCTTAATATTCCCATCGTCGATCGATTCGTTGCTCAGCCTTCCTCGTGTAACTTGAATCGTCAACTACAGGAATCTGTCCTAATATTTCTGTCTAGGTTTCCTATTCCTTATTTTACTTAACTGGTCGACGCCGCATGCATAGCAAGCAGAGCGGACAACATAAACAAAGCACGAGCAACAACGATACGAGCGCGACGAACAGCAGGTAGAGATTCTCCACTACTTTGGTTGATCTTTGGTCGAAGAAGTCGCTAGAAATTAGCCGCTATTCTTGCAAGGAAGTCAACTGACTGCTTATATCATGTGTATTTAGCGAATGCAAAGCCGTCCTGATGGTCGTTGTCTCATTAATGGGCTTTATTTATGTCGAAGACTATGTTGCCGCAAGTTTCTATATGCTCGACTGTTCATTGACTTGAGGAATTATATTTGGTGAGGCTATAGTCACGTTGACAAGCAAAAGATGCAGATCGTCTCGCCAGTCCTCCCTCTGAACCAAGCACCAATACGCTGCGCCGGACACAGCCTTATGCACACTTCTCGTGTCAAGTAAATTACCGCTGGCGTCGTACAGTTTCTGAGAAGCTTTTTGTTGATCACTTGCTGAGTTGTTGACTGGAAAATCAACGACATCTCCTGCCTGCTTGTACGTTACGGTTTACGCTCCGCTACTTAGCATCCTCAACGGGAGTTGAACTGATGACCGTATGTACACGTGCTCTTTCAACACGACTTCGTGATTGATTTTCACTGTTTTCAGGTAGCCTTTGAAGCCTTGTATGTTAGAAAGATTCCTTCCCGCTTCACTCATATCCTTCCCTATATAAAACCACGATTCGAGCTGCAGTGACTGCTTTAGTTGCAACGAAACTTCTTGATCGACATCTTCTTGTTTCTCACTGAATTTGTGATCCTTACTCCTTGAATCGGCAATTCTAAGCGCCACATTATCTTCACTAATACCGATAACAAAGGTCAATGGTCCCAGATTTAGGTGAATGGACTGGACACATTCGTCTAGGGTGCGATTCTCAGTGCGGCACAAGACCAGCCTGCCTCCTAGCTGCCTCACGCGCAGCGCTGAGCCTGCCTTACCTGGCAAGGTTACAAGCGTTCCGTCGCTTAGCGACATCGGCTCGTACTCCACCAGTATCGTGATCTCTTCCGGCAGCCGAATTAAACGTTTCACAGCTTGCCCCTTCATATTCATCGTGCCACTGTTCAATCTATGATTCGACGTCTCCACACTGAGTTTGTTATCATTACCAGCGTCATTGTGGGTTTTCCGCTGTTTTTCCCCAATGTTTTCATGAAGGTCCGTTTTACTGAATGTTTCAATGGCCTTATTGGAATCGATTTTCACGTTGTGTTCCTTTTCAATTCCTTTACCATTTGTTTGCTGATTTGTTTCGTGATTTTTGTTCTCATTGGATTTCTCTGGGTGTGAAGTCTGGAGAGATCCGCTGCTCGACTTATCTCCTATTATATCCTAAGTTTTTCTGGCAACCTTTTCATTTGTTGATATGATTTATTTTTCATTTTATTTCTAATGGCTTTTATTGTCTAGTTTATTATTCATTTTATCTATCGGTTACTTATTGCTCTTATCTTTCGCTTTCTTTTTGTTATCATTTTTAGGACTAGTTTTCTTGACTTGAGTCTTCTTGCTACTATATTCGGAGACCTTCACATACTTAGTTTTCTTAACTGCTGCGGACGGTTTTTCCTCGTGGTCTTCAAGAGACGTTGCATGGCACGCATCGCAGGGTATCCTGACGGTGTCATACTCGCTGAGGTATATTGCAGTCTGCCCCTGAGGTGCCGTGCCGCTGCTCACATTCCTGATCAGATCTCTCCAGTAAACGTCTGTCATTACGGGTCTTCCATGCTTCCTATTTTCTTATAGATGATTGGAATTGACCTCTGAAGTCTTGTTATTGCTACTGGAGAAAACGTGATTCATGTGCTGTATTGTCGCGGTCAGGTTGTTAACAGATGTACAGTTGTTTATCACTTCAGCGTCGCTTATTTTCAAAAAAATCTGATTTGCACCAACTCCTACCAAAACATCCGTGTCATAGCCCGTTGCTGCTAACTGCATTTAAATTTTACACTACTTAACTGTTCCATTGTTCTCTTATTAGAGGCCTTGATCTACGACTTGGCTTCTATTTTAACTGTCTTGCTATGAGTTATTGTTCTCTAATTCTTTTTTGTTCCCGCTGACAAACGGCTCAAGTTTCCTGAACAATGCCATAACACTGCCGTCTCTATACGCTAAGAAGAATATCCGATCGCCTTCTTTTCGGCGTACAACGATGCCTCTATCTTTCGGCCGCCATCTTGCGTATAAAAGAAGCTCAACTTGATCATTCCATGTTGAAAGCTGGAGTTTTTCTTGTGGGACTTCGTTATCCATGAATCGCTCGTTATTTTTATATAGAAAATGTTTTTTTCGTTTACTTTCAAGCTCACTTCTCGTTTCCTCGTCGTCATCTGCTTTGTTATGAGTTATTTTTTTCTACAGTTGGCGTAATGGACTTGAATGTTTTTTTAATTTGTGACCACCGTTCAATGAGTGCCGTCCATTTCCATGTTTGGCCATTTATGAATCTCCATCGATTGTCAGGGATAATTTCCTCCAGACTGACATTTCAACTTACGACAAGAATAAGAGGAGGATTACCGTGCAAGCCTTCAGTATTACAGTTCCGTTCATATTTATAGCGTGGCAGTCAAATTCAATATCTAGTTCTCTTTGCTGCTTGGTGCTATGTTATTCCCTGGAATTATTCTGTAGTCGTTAAGAATTCGTTGCGTTGGCGCGACGTTACTGTGGATACTCGTCGATCTTTGCTCGCTGCTCCTATCTATGAATTCGTAAATATGAGTACGTAGTCATGCTACCGACGCATAGTTTTTTAGGCCTGTAATATTGACGGTGATACCGAAGAGTATTATACATTTCATACTTTTGTTGTTTTGCCGTGTTCAGGGGCATATACCTTATATATTCTGTTAACATATTAGCCCAACGTTGCCTGGGATTAATTATCCCGGGAATTCCTAAAATTGAGACGGACCCGTGCAAACCTACATTTTACGATTTACAATTGAATTTATATTTATCCATTTAAGAATCAATTTTTTGATTAAATCCTTTCCTCCCACTTATGAAATGCCAAGTACTACTATTCTAACATCATGAATAAATTTTAATCTCCAGGTAACATCAGACCAAATAAGCATCGTGGATACGCGTCAAATTTTTTTATTTTTGCGGTGACTTCAAACACCACAAAAACTTTAGCAAACATAAAATTATGAACGAATAGCTGAAGGATACATTTTTGTTGTGCAGGTGTTTGACACTGTGCACGCGACGTGTCCCGAGGCTCTGTTGAAGGTGGCTGCTGTTGAAGGAGACATTCTCGAGCCTGGGCTCGGCCTGTCAGAAGCTGACACTCAAATGCTCGTACAGAACGTAAGCGTTGTCTTCCACGCAGCCGCTACAGTAAAGTTCGACGAAGTCATCAAACTCTCCCTCAAGATGAACGTGCTCGGCGTCAAGAGAATAATAGAACTCTGCAAGAAAATGAAGAATCTCGTGGTGGGTGTTCTTCAATAGAATTACCTTATTTTCTCCTTGCTAATCCCTTTGCCATATGTTTGTGGTAAACTTGTTGCATTCGGGAAGGAAACTTCTTGTGGACACTTATTGGCCGATAGACTTTTCTTAAGGCAATAATCTTATTGTTGTATATGATTTTATTTGTCCAGCAATGCTTAAAGTAGCAGTCTCAGTAGCTAACTGTCACTACTTGGTTCTTATTCACTCACAAACAATTCTTGGTTATAGTGTACGTGGTATGACTTGTGCTGTATCCACTGTCCACAGCATAGCCGTAACGATTCTTTATCGTGGCCATATGACTTGTGCTGTATCGTGACCATATGATCGTGGTACGACTTGTGTTGTATCGTCACCATATGATCATGGTATGACTATTCTTGTGTATCACGCTCGTGACAGAGTCTGGTGCACGTGTCGACGGCGTACTGCAACTGTGACCGCAACGAGGTGGAGGAGCTCGTGTATGATCCCCCCAGCGATGCCGAGGCTCTTCTCAAGCTCATCGACCTCATGGACGATGACCTCTTCAATCACCTCACCCCCAAGTCGGTTATATTTCATTCATTATTTATTCTTTCATTTGAATTGCTTCCGCTTCAAACACCTCGCTGAACGACAATTTCGTCATCGTATCTGTTGTGAATAATTATCAAGTCGCCTAAAGGAATAAAACTCGAGTTTTTTTTTAATTCGAATTTTATTTTAACCGACTATCTCGGCCATCAGACTGATTGGGAAGCGGCCGAACACATACACGTTCACCAAGGCGCTGGCGGAGCACGTGCTGGTTACAGAGGCGCGAGATCTGCCCGTGGCCATCGTTCGGCCCAGCATCGGTTGGTATTTTTGTGACGCTGTTCTTCTCTGTAATATTCATTCTGCTTTCTATTTATTTGTATCACATTGCACCGGGACATATCTGTGCATGACGTTCTTGTTGAAATGGACAGTTGTTTCCTGCCGAGATTATTTTCAAGGTTGGATGAGCTCTTGCTGGTCGGTACATGTAAGGCATTTTCATGTATCATTTGATACATGGAAGACATTGGTTGAAATCTTCTCTATTCCTGGTGATTAATTACGCGACGAAAAATGTCTGTTATTACAACACTTGTGACTATTTTTGTACATCGTTGAGTGGATTTGGTTCTCAAATCGTCCACACTACGTCACTGAACTAAAAGCGTTCGATTCCTAACTTGACTTTGTGTTTGCAGTGTCTGCGGCGTGGCGGGAACCCATACCGGGTTGGGTGGACAACCTGAACGGCCCTACAGGTCTGATTGTGGGCGTAGGCAAGGGCATGCTGCGCTCTATCCACTGCCATGGGGAACTTGTCGCCGACCTCATCCCTGTTGACATCCCAATCAACCTGCTCATCGTCACCGCCTGCTACACTGCCATGCGCAGGTACCATCAACTTGCCCTAAGTTCTGCCTCATTGGGCTGTGATATATTTTATTTTTATTTAAATAAACCCGGATGCTCGGCGACGGTATACCATTGGTACCTACGACCACGGTTTCGCCTCCTCAGAAATTCGCTAATCCATGATCGTCTAATTAGCCGTTGCTCCCAAAAAAACTATTTCAAAGTGTAAAACGGCTGCAAATCTCATTAAGTTGTAAGAATTTGTACAAATACTCAAACTGTACAATTGAACAGAAAACATTGCGTGTGTAGACACTTAGCCAGGTCAAGATTTTCTGCAAGATGTTTAATCAAATAAACTTGATTGCGCAGAAGTAAGAGCGAGATCAAGGCCTACAACTAACTGTGTATATAACCACATACAATTGTGTGTGCAGAATTAAGAGCGAGATGAAAGTGTGCAACTGCGTATATAACCACATACAATTGCGTGTGCAGAAGTAAGGGCGAGATGAAGGTGTACAACTGCGTGTCGGGCATGGAGCGTCCAATGAAGTGGCGGGAGATGACAGAGTACGGCATGGTCGCCCTCAAGACCTCAGCAGCGATGACGGACGCTGTGTGGTACCCCAGCCTCAACTTGTCCGACTCGCGACACATCAACGCCATCAGCGTCATCATCCAGCACTGGGCGCCTGCTTATGTTCTCGATGCCATTGCCAGAATCGCAGGGAAGAGACCTATGTGAGTTTTTCATTTCGATCTCTTATATTCACTATGTTTACTGTAGTAGTTCAAAACAAGGAAGATAACTAATATAATCTAAAAAAAGGATGTTTGATGAGTTAGCGAGCGTTGATTCAGCTTTAAAAAAGATCACTTCACCTGAATATGTAATCTCAATGAAAATTACAATGTGTTTTCATCATTTATTCACTTGAACATCTTGGTTTCATTGGTAGTGAAAGTTGCTCCAGTTCATTGGTTGTCACTGAAAAGTCGGTGTAAAAGAGTTCTCAAAATATGCTCATGTGCAATATTAATATTTATCAGGTGAGTATGACAGTTTCCTTCATCAAGAAAAAAGTTTCATATTACAACGATTACTTCATAGCCTGTAATGAGGTTGTTGAAATCTATTTTTATTATTATTTTTTTACCTTGCTCCATGTATGTTTGGGAATCACGCAAAGCATGTTGTACATTTCTCCTCGAGGTCTGCGTCGTATTCACTAGGTAATTATTTTGACAGCATGGTGCGGGTGGCACAGAAGCTGGACCGTGCAGCCTCATGTTTGGAGTACTTCACCACGCACGAATGGCGCTTCCTCAGCAACAACGTTCAAGAGCTCTGGAGTCAGCTGCCACCGGCTGACAAGCAGGTTGGCGCCCCGTAGCTTTTTATTAACAACCCCATTGTTCTGAGTAATGATTCTAATGAACGACTGTGCTGTGATGATGAATTGCGAATCATTCTGCAAATTAATAATTCATTCTGTATGACCGCATTGAGAAATATCAGGTCCAAAACACTTGAGCGTCGGGATGGCGTTGAGAAATACCCCCATGCTACGTGAACAATGCGATGTAATCATAATTAATTACGTACTTGAAGCTATTCGAAAAAAATATTATTTTTTTATTGGTGTTCTGACATTCGCTGAAAAGAAAAGTAATAATATTCGTAATATCGTGGGGCTTGCTGTCACTTGGCGCTTGGTGTTTGAGTAGTTTCAAGCTAGTGTTTATATAACCATAATGACTTTAAAGCGACTGTGGCCACATTAGCTGATGCGCGAAATTAGTCCACATTCTAATTTTATCTGACCTGAAAAGTGACAGTAAACTCATGACGTGCAGACCTTCAACTTCTCCCTGAGTGAGCTGGACTGGCCGCAGTACATGCAGACATATTGTGCGGGTGCCAAGCGCTTCGTCATCAACTGCATCCAACTCTCACCCTCATCAACTGCATTCAACACGTCATCAAACTCTCACCTTATTCCGCAAGCCCTCATCATAAATTAATTTCCCTTACGACTGAGATTGAACCACCTTATTGTGCAGCTTCCGTTACTCGGCTCGTAATCTTGTTTGTGATTTCAATCAAGGAAAAAAAATTACAAGCCAAGCTGAGGTATTATTTATAGCATCTTATTGTCAATCCGAGTGAACATCGAAGAACGCAGGCGTCTTGTATCAAACCTACTAAAACTTGTGTTGAAAATGCATTCACGTTCTTTAAGCCCTTAATAAGTGTGTCGTTATTAATAAATCTTTTACTAGAAGCTTTTTATTTAGTGTCTAATTGTGCATTTTTTTTACATTAGATGTATTTTAATTCAATATTTGAGTTTGTTTATTTTTGTTATTTCTTCCCTTTACTGTTGGTGTTCACGAGTGTGAAATTGTCCTCCATTCAGTGTGTAGTTGATGTGTTTTTATGTCTGTTTATGTCTGTGTAATTTGGCATTGTTATAATAATTTCTTGAGTTGCTTTCTCTTGTAATGATGTTTCCGTGTTTGAGATCGCTCGTCATCTGTGCCACATTGCGCTTGATATCATTTTTAATTCCGCACTTTTAGCTTCCGTCAGCTGCTTTTCCTTGTAATTTTTTTTCAATATGAAGTGAATTTATCCTCGCTACCCATAAAGATTTATTGCCTGTGCAGGAGACGCGCAACTGCCTTACTTGACTTGAATTTTATCAATTTTAATTTTGAGAGGACCGTGACCTGCAACACAAAAGCTAAAATTTCACATCACTCAACTGACTCAAGGTTAACTATTGTTTATGCAATTTTGACTCGTTTTGAGGATACCTCTTCATTGCTTTGTATGAAAGTCTCAAGAGTTACTACTGGGTATTTTTGTAGGATTGTAATACTTCGAAATCTTAACCCTCTGCCGCCGTATGTCACTCTCCGAGAACATTACTTTCAACTACTGAGTGTAGCAACCAGATGACGTTTGTACGCAACAGAAAAAATTTTAAAGTTATCGTGCGTGGCGACAACCATCAGTGCAAGTCATTTTGTGGTCACTAGCAACGTAACCTTTTTGGGAAGTAGGCTTGTGACTATATTGCTCCGGTTACTCGTGTCAGGCGGTAGAGGGTTATTATCATCATTGTAACCGGTACTCGAGACTTGTTTTGGGCTCCGCCCACGGTATTGCGGATGCACCACCGTCGTCCAGGTGACTCCTCTTGATGACAAGAACTCAAACACTGAACAGAGCGTAATTTTTTCTTATAAAAAACCATTAGCTCAAGTGAATGGGTCTTGCTATCTTGTTCGTATTTATGAACAAAATTTCAAGGCTACACTTATTTCAGTTTGACACTTGTTGGTTTTCTTAGTCGAGTCAAGAATTGAAAATTTTCTTCCCTATGTCTATCCATGCTTTTCAGTTCCTGTTGTATAGCTTTCTAGGCCATAATATCTAATACTCAAACAATTTTTCTACTCGCCACCAATAAATAGACGTATTTTAATGTCAGTTGTGATTTAAGTAAGATCAATCGAATTGATTAAGAAAATGTAGTATAAAAATTTTTCTTCATTGATACACATGACGCATCATCGCTTCGTTCAGGGCTCGACCATCAAGATATTAGCGTTATAATGACCACGTAGTGTTATGAAACTAAGATTTGTTTGATTTACTTATACTCTTCAATACCTAATACGGAGATCGCAACTTTTCTACTAATCCCGACTGGCGGTGTGCGAGATCCTTCAAATCGACTGCAAGTCCCGACTGGCGTTACACTTAATCCCAACAGTTTGCTGCTTTACGAAGTGTTATCGATCAAAATAAGAACTAAACTGGGCGCGTGTCTGACCCTGACCCTCGCGCCTTATCCTCAGAATGTTCTGGATTCACTGGGGCTGCCGCCTGTTGTGCGCAGTGGGCCTCGCTGCTCCCTTCCTGTCCGCGTACTTTTCCCAACCCGACTTAGTGAGTGCAGCTCTCACGTCCCTCAGTTGGTCCCAGCGACTCTCTTAACTACAGGAAATTTTTGCGGCCCCCCACCCCAAACACTCTAATCTGTAAAAATTACAATTCATATATTTTCATGGTATTAACATCAGTTGTTGCTTGATTCGCACGGACACTTTCAATTTGAACCTCATTATTGATTTATCATAAATCATCGCCTAATATTCAGGTTAAAAATCACGGTTTTTTTTTTTTTCATGGGGCAGCACCCAAACTTTTCATTATTGATGAACAGAATTTTTTTGTGCAAACTTACATTTACCTAACCGCACAATTCCGATTTCTGAAGCGCGTCAAATCTCTGTGCCAACACTATAATTGGCTCAAACTTACCATTATGATTCATTGTTAAAAAAATTTCTTCGGGCTCACGGTGTTTATCATATTTACGATATAAGAATATCAGTATCTTCTTCCTATCTCTCCTGGGCTCTTTTGTTACCAGCCACAATCTGCAGATGCGCTTCTTTCTCGTCTTACAGGGAGCACATAACTATGGGTCTTTGAACCAATCTTTGACTGGTTCTAATCGCTTATTAGAACTTCTTCTATAATTATTATTATGAATCATTGATGTTTATATTTATAACTGACTCATTTGTCACTGAAAATGCTGTCTTATTGTCTCTTCCTGTTCTGTGTGTAGGAATAATTGTTATGTCACGATTTTACACATTCAGCATTTTTGCAGTGATTACCCGGTTGGTTTTCTATTTGTTCTACTTCTTGTCTGTCTCTTTGTTATGCTTCCTTGCGCCACAAACCCTCTAGGTGACTATCCCTTCTTCTTTCAAGAAATGTTTTAACACATTTTTTTATTAATATGTTTAACTGAGCCACACATCTGTATTGGGCTTTCGTGCTCTTACATATTGTGGTCCGTTTGGACCTTTTACTAATCTTATGAACATAAACTAATTACAATTACGATCTTTTCCTATTGAAATTTTCGCCAATAATATGCATTCTAATATGCACGTTGGGGCTAGATGCTATTCCCTTAGTACACACTAAAGATATTGTAGTCTCACTGTTTAAACATATTGCGTAAAACTCAGCCTATATAAACTGGTTTTCCTTCAAGCATAGGTACATACATAACTGAGAACTGCTAAAAACAATTTTCTGTTGGTTGTTCCATCCAGCACGAGTGCTACGCTCGTCTTATGGAAAATATCAGAAACGTGCGGGTTGTTGCGGTCGTTTACTTTTATTGTACTTTGAATGAATCTTTGGGCAAGTGCTTGCCATTTGAATGCAATTTGCCCCTGCATGGCTTATTATTGGGGTAATGTAAGCATGAAAAGTTTCGTCACCTTTAATGGTGAGCTCATGCATTTTTCTCCTCAGATGGATATTTCGAGCGTGCCCTCTGAAGTAAGTTCTCAGTTGAAGTTTAATTTTTGATTCATAACCAATCTTTGTTGTGTGCTCATGAAAATAATTCCTTGTATTATTGCGGAACTTTTGTTCTCTTTATTATACCAAATATTCGACTGTAAATATTTGTTGGTTTCCTAGATTTTTTTACGTGCTGTAACGCAGTGTTGATGACAGGCTGTGGTGGGTGCATCGGGGTGGTCGAGTGATGCTGCTGCTGCTGGCGTGGAGGCTGGTGTTGCTCCGTAGTCCTGCTGCCCAGCGCGCCTTCTACGCCCTCTTACGTGCCTTCCTGCGCCTCATCTCACGACTACCTATCATCAGGCGTCTATAGGGCGTCAATTCATCAGGCGTTCATACGGCGTCAATTGTGCACTAATCAGGCGTTTATAAGACGCGTCACTTGTGCTCTCATCTGACGTTCATAGATCTTCATTAGTGTCCTAATCTGGTGTCTGTATGGCGTCATTTGTGCCCTCGTCAGGCGTCTTCAGATCGTTACTTGCCGCCCCAGATCACGCGTCTATTACACGTCACTTTTGCGGCGTTTGTTCCCTATTGCTCAGCTTCCTAAATTCAAATCAATCTTTGCGATGTTAGTTCCCACAAAATCATAGCGACTACTCAAAGCAAGATCTTGATTCTCCGATGGCGATTTTTTACACATAAAAACTGAGTTTGTGCATTCAGACTTTTTATATTTGTTTGTTCTGATTTTCTTGACATTATCAAGTTTAAATTTTTCGTGAAGTTCTTGCGTTGAAGTCTCCTCCAATTTGTGCGACGAACTTTTTTTCTGCATATGCAGACTGCATTTGTTTTTGCGATTTTGCTATGCTCTCGGTTATTGCGATGCAAGATGGTGTCTGAATATATATATTCCTGAATTGTTCTTCAGAAAATGCCTTTTTTTTATATTACATTTAGATCTAATTAATAACTTTTGATTACAAATGCTCAATGTTGTTTAGGTTTTTGAAGTAATTGATGATCGCTTGTGTTCTGGTGAGGTATTTAATTTTTGCTGAGTTGAGAGTTAAGTGGTCTCGATAGCTGCTAGAAGCAATCGGATGCTTTGTGTAGGCGGAGATCAGATTACATAGCAAGCTATTCATCGGCAATTACTTCTAAGCTTTAAGTAAACTCTAATAACTCGTGATGTGAGCCTCTTCCCTCCCAGTAACCATTCCAGCATGAACTTGTCTACATGACATTTGTTAGCTTACTGTAGGAAACCTTTTCATCGAGAATATTATGACCATCTTTCATCTCATGAATAATACGGAATAACCAAATTTGCTTCGGTGATATTTTCACTGGTCACATTTCACTGCAGTATGTAAATGCATTAAATAATTTGTATCATGTTCTGTTTACGAAAAGAAAACCAACTTAATTGCTGCTTCAAGTCATCCTCACTAGTATCACTCGTTCGTGTTCTAGGCCTCAAGGTTTCCTACTGAGTGAACATTGTCTTGACTCTTGAACGATGTGAAAGTTGCTTGCCTGCTAATTGAAATACAGCATCGTGTCTCTGACTCGCTGTCATCACTGCCACAATTATAACGGTCCTGTAAACGTCCCTGCTGAGCGAGCCGATTTACCTTCGTTTAGAGACGGCCTATTTCACTCATGGTTCCTGTCAGATGACCGAGGTTGAAGCACTCGTTCTGTGCTTCATGTCAGAGTCACTCAGTCTGACGTATGAATGTATTACCCTCTTGTTAATGGCAGCAAGCGTCTCCCTACCTACTCAGTGCTATCTCACCGTTAAAATTGTGTACATAAAATCTATTATTCGAACTAGCGTTGACTGACCGCTGCACTTGCGGCTGGATCGCCTGAACAAATATTAGTACTAAACTCTTTGCTACAGTATCGCTCACTAGATGTTGCGAGATGCGCTATGTATCTTTATTAGATGAAGCTGTACACTGACTGCTTTTTTCCGTAGTTCTAGACGAAGTAGTGCATGTTCTTCTATGGACTGCCTTTGACGCGCGTCCTTTCAGTCGGAGAAGTGCCCCTATTGTCAACAATTGATGCTGCATATGTTTACGGCATACGAAGTTCTCTTTTCTCCGGTGCTGGGACGTGCGTCGGGATCCAGACGTTTGCCATAAAATTTGACATCAATTCAAAGTTTGCCGTTGAGAAACTGACTTCGTTGTAGATTATTCGCGAATCTTAGAACCTAAAAACCTGTTTCCGTATTACTTATTGGCTTCTTGGAGCGTAATTTCAGAGGTACGATGATGGCAATAGTAGGAACTAAGCTTTTGGTTCATGGAAGATCGGTATGAAAGATGATCGCACGATCTTCAAAGATTCCAACAACATGAATCCCAGTTACGATTCTATTGAGCTACTGGAACGATAGTTTCCGATCCCCTGCACATCAACTTTGGATATGGGTTACTTATCACTTCTTGATAAAATATCTACTTCATTTTCTCTTTTTGAACTCCTCAATGGTTACTTGAAGAAACGGCAGGCGTGACCCATGAGCGTATGATATTAGAATTACATGTAAGTAGGACACAAGACTTGCCCTTACTTTTCTTTTGGAAGTATTTTGTTTGTAGTTGCCAGTTGTAGTAATTCATAGCATTTTGGAGAAAGTGAGGTTGTATATAAATATGAGTATTTCTTTGATATCACCATAATTTTATGAGTTCGGTAATGAACTGTTTATCTTTAAGAATTGAAGCGGCCGCAACATTCTATTCGTATTTGATTGAAGCGGCAATTTTTAAAGTAAGAGTGTTGGTGAGATATCGATGAGCCATTTATTTGTAAACCAAGTTATCCATGTCAGGCTACTATACATACACATACAGTGCAGGCAGAGCACAGCTCCTACTGCTCGTCGAAGTTTTCAATTAGTGGGTTAGTTAGTGAGCTCACGTGGCCGTTGTAGCACATCGAGCGTTAACTATAGAAGTCATCTTTCATTATTTGTGTGGGACGGGAATGGAGTCTCTTTTGCTCTGCGTGAAGTCTCCAAAAGTTAATAAAATCATAATTTCTTTATTTTTTGTTAAGATTTAATAAGATTTGTTCGGTTATCGTACAAGCTTTCCTGGTGCTTAAACGCTTAAATGAAAACAGAAGGGCAATCTCATTAGGATTATTCCGATGATCTATCTTGCAACCTATGAAGAGTAGGCCGTCCAATTAAGATGCTTAGACAGAGTCGCTACGTCTCCCTGTGCCAACGGTTAACTGTCGACCTTGCCATATCGCCGGTAGATGGTTTCTTGTCAAGCGTATTATACCGGGATGGCTTGTTCTTTATCGATTGAAAATTTGTCACCAATTTGCTGCTGCTTTTAGGGTTGTGCATTGATGAGTGTGGAGCGGTTTTAGGCGTGCCTAATGGAAGCTTTGACCGTCAGTGACAAAGACCTCACTTGCTGGAGTTACAGATATCTTGGCTCTGGAGTAGGTTCCGTGTGCGTTCAATTATCCTGTTGAGTTACGCCGTGTTAACTCGATTACCCTCGCGTTGGCACATCCTGACATGCCCACTCGTGCATTCCCTCATTTCTCTCTTTATTATTTTACATTTTTTTTTTCTAACTAACCTCGTGCATTTTGAATTTGATGCGTCCTGTGTGCAGAAACGTGTGTGTCCGTGTGCTTGCGTATGTTCATGTCGGCTCTTGAATAGATTAGAATATTTCTTGGTCTCTGAAGTAGATACATTCTTTCGTGTCTCGATCCACCCTAGAGTTTGCTTCTTGTTCCGTGCTTGTCTGCCATGGTAGCAGCGCCGGTCTTCATCTTGTACTGCAAGAGGTAGTGGACTCTTAGATCTGTAACCGTTAGTATGTTTAATTCCACAGTAGAGTTATTCATCATTTATATATATTCTCTGATTTTTTAACTTGGAATTCCATACGTTTTAGCTCGTCTCCATGGATGAATTTCTCGGCCGTGACAGTTTTGTGCTACTTTATTTACTAAGCTTAATTTGTTACCGTCGTTGCGCCATTTCTATGCTTTAAAGCAAACCAACGAGACCAGCTGGACAAAATTACCATCTCCCAATGGCCGACGTCATCAACACTAGCGTCTTCTTATTTTCGGTCATTGAACTTAATTCCAGTTTCCATACACGAACAATTGTGGATTAAAGCACTTGAAGAATTAGTTGCGCTCTAAAAGATCATAAAAGATGACCGCTCGCGCCGTGGAGTCTCGTTATTCTAGGTGTGGGTGATCGGGAACTTCAGGCGAGTTGCTTCAAGTAAGAGTAGCTGCGCCGTGTTATAATCTTTGATAAGTTAATTTGTAAAAAGTTCGTTATCATGTGTATTCAATGAATAAATAAATCTTTTATTAATGATATTTTTTAATTACCCCTCATGTTGAGAGAGGCCTTGAAAGTAAACCATTGAAGTTTGATCTAATTGTTGACCTCGGTGTAAGATTGAACATAATCTGTTACAGATCTAAATTAATATTCTACTGATTGCCTTGTTCCATTTAACATGTTTACCTGCACCCTTTGAACTACAGCTTCTCCAGCGTTTCTGATGCCGTGAAATTTAGTCGTTGTTTCAAGATTCTCGCGGAATTTGCTTTGTTTTCAAGATATTGCGTTTCAATTTCATCCACCACTCTTTCGAGGTGAACATGCAAACGCTCTTTAGGGGTGAATACGCTAACGCTCGATAAGTTGTTGCTAACCCGCTAAAATTCAGTAGTTTCCAGCACAAAGTTAAAATTTTAAGTGCATATTAAACCCTTCCATCTGAGTTTAGTAGATGATGTGACTTCTATTGGCCTCAAATAATCCTTTGATGCGATTCTATATATATATATATGGACAAATAAAAACTAAATCCCCCATATTAAGACGCGTGCCGTACCACAACAGCCCTCCCGTCATAGCTTAGTCTCTTCAAGAAGTCACGTTCGTTTAGCTCTCTTTACTTCACACCTGCACGTTCAGATTCTTATGTTCGTTTCTCCTCTTTGTATATTATACCCGAACTATCTCTTTCCTCGTCCATTTTTTCTAGGCTAACGAAAGTTTTTGTTGTGCAGCTGCGGAAGTTTTTCCCTTTGGAAGTTTTACTCTTAGCTTTGATATTATGGTCAATTGATGCCTCATCCTTTTATCCCAACTCAAGAGACAGTGAAAACTAAAAAACATGTTGCATTATTTCCACGAGGCTTACAAATTTCAGAGTATACTTGCAGAGTTTTTTCTCTCGTGGTTAAGTAGAAATTATGCTTTGTTAATAAATTTATTACGTCTACTAAATTTTCGTTTGGATTTATAAAAAAACATTACCTGCATTGTTTTTAGTAAAGCAGCTGGTTATATTCTTTATAAGCAAGCTTGCCATCCAACTGCACTTTGAGTTAAGCTTCGTAATAACGACAAATAATTGGGATTTGGTGACGTGATAGTGGTAATCGCTCACGATAATTCAGTCCAGTCAAGGTGCCGCCATGCATCTGCACACAATGTGGGATCCATGGTTGAATTAATACATATTCAACCATGGTGGGATCAGTATGATATGCTTTATTTTAGACCTGTTTAATTATTATTTGTCGTGGGCATAAAAAATCTCGACTGGTTATGCCAACTTGAGCTCGCACGTACACAACTCGAAAAGGTTACAGCTGTTTTTACATACCAATAAAAAGCTTCTAGATTTAGTGTCTGCTAATCATGGCCACTTCTATCTGCAATCTCAAAACCTCGCGCGTTTCTTAACTTCTGCCAAGTCGGCAAGTGCATTTGCATCATTTTCATAATTTGATTCGCTCTACATTCGTATTCCGCTCATAGTTTACTCAATTTTTTTAATGCCGGCTGCAAGAAAAGCTAGAGGAGCAGATTTTCCGAACTAGTTTTTTTCAAGGCAATCAGGCAGAAACTTACTTTACAGTAATCTAAAATGCGTTCCGTTACTTTTTCGCCAATCATCAAACACCCTTGAATCTTATGAATTTTCTTTCTATGGCCGCCGTGACAGAGCTTCAGGAAGATATTCTCTGAAGCCGCCGTAAAGCTTCAGGAAGATATTCTCTGTACAACATTAACTCATCATGTATATAATGAATCCATCGCCATGACGCCTTTATTCGTTCTCAATAAATAAGATGAATTTAAAGTCGGTACTTCGTGCTTGAATCTGTGCAAATTATGCTGAGTAATGGACGAGTCAAGGCAAGGCCTTCATCATTCATGGCCGCAAAAAGTAGTAACCACGCACAAGCAATGCAGTTCCAAGGCAATGCAATTCGATCTTCAGCGTTCGAAAATGTCTGCAAAACCTCATGACTCCAATATGTTGATATGATGAATTTCATCTAATGATGTCCAGTAAATAAATGTATATGGAAGTATTGAAACGTTTCTTGCGTCAAGAAGATTATCTTATGAGACTATCTCGTATTTCGTATCTCGGACATGGAAAACTTGTGAAATCCTATAAATTTGTAAATATAATTTTTGTTCTCGGCGAACTTCTCGTTCGCCGAGAATCTTTGAAATCAATCGTTCGTCGTTGTGTCGTAGTGAAGGGTTGAATAGCAGAACTGATTATTGCCAACCTTTCTATATTGATTTAAATTTAGATGAAAGTTTTGCCTTACGTTATTGTGAAATTTAAAATCAGTCCTTACTACAAACTTTTAATAGTTTTTGAAAACTATTTATGCTTTCTTGATTATCTTTAAAAATTTCACTACATTTCTCATTACCATTACTCTTTGTTGAAAACAATTCTTCGTAGCGCCACGTTTCCTTTGTAGTATTTAAACTTTTCTAAAGACAATTATTAACATTATTAAAAGGCTTAGCATATATATCTCAGATTGTTAAAAAGTTTAAATAACATCGTTTTCTCAGTGGAACAAACTTAGAGCAGAAATTTTCGATTGACGTGCCAATTTTCAGCAAATGCGTCACACATCAATTTACAAGTGGAGCATAAAGGTATTAGTTAATAGTTATTAGCTGGCCCTCCTGGTTTTCTTCAAATAAGCATTGGAAGAAAACGAATGCTAGTAAACTCCACAAATATGAACGTCGTATAGATCGCCATTTCCGAATGTCCGAAGCAACAATTTTTCTCCGGTACAAATTACAATTGATCATATTAATTAATAAGTCATAGGAATATGATTTCCGAAAATAGAATAAATAAATATAAAGTAATTTTGAGTATGCAATGATTAATTTTACTTGTTCGCACCATGCAAATAAATGCATTAATGTTCGTAAAATTTCGTGAATTTGTACTTTTAGAATAAATATTTTTCTTCATATCGACATTACTTTGCGTATTTATTGGAAGAATGTTAAATCACTATCGACTATGCTGACAATTACAAGCTTGTTCATCATCCGACATATTTTTCTTGGCCACAAAGAGACGAAACAGAAACTCCAAACTTCCTAATACGGGAGCGCAGCCGTGCACCGCCAATTTTGTGCACCTATAAGCCCTGAATCGAACGCCTTGGATCTCTCCGGACCTACACCAATCACCCGTGCACCACTCGGCTTTGTCCTCCTGTACAATCGTAATGTTTGCTTTCATGAGGTAATAATTACGAATTGGCGATCGTAACAGCAAGGTGGTGCTGCTTGAGACCTAAATCGCTTCGACATTTTTTCAGCTGATGAAGCCGCATGCGAAATATCACGTCTTCGCCGCAGTCCATTATTTTCGCTGGATTAGATCACTAATACTCAGTGAATGAGCTGATGCTTGTAGTTGGAATTATATTATCTGTGGTGGGTTCCATACTCCTCATTTACTGTCTTTGCCGTCGAGAAACCAAGAACGCACCAAGGAAAGTTTTCTCAGGACACTTTAACAGTTTAACTCGTTAGTTTATGATGTCAGCAGCAACCTAGCTTTGTACATAAAGTCACGTTGACTTTCATACCATCTATCGCAATTAGAACCATATAGGTATAGGTCTATAAGGCTAAGATATCGGTTATTGTGAACTCAAACCTATCCATAAGTAGACCATATGCGAAATTCTACTTGGACTTACATTTTGAACATGTTTACTTTGAGTTTTTCGTCGTTCGATGTTCCAGTTTACAAGTTGCCAGAAAGGAAACGCATCTGCTGATTTCCTATGCGCAACTTAATCATGCTCATGCCCGAAAGAGCTCCATCCAGCATTACAAGGCATTTATTTTTGATAGGTGTTAATTTTATTGAAATTACATAATAAAACATTCGCTAGACGCGAATTGTGCAATTATACTCGTACGAGTATGCATTTTAGGCAGACGTTTCTTATAAGATTCGTCTTTTATAATGAATAGTGTTATATTGAATTCACTGGAATGATTAACAGAGCGTAGAATGAGATCGCTTGACGCTCCGAGTATGAACGCCTTCGAGAACAGACTAGATGAAGCTATGCAGGAGCATATGTTCAGTCTTAAAAATCCTAGCAAATTACGGACCAGGCAATAAGTCCAGCAGCTATCTCAATCTCAATGGAAAGATCGGGTTCCAAAGGCCGGATCCCTTGTGAATCAAGTTACGAAAAATTCAAGAACCGGCAACAGGCCATGGGCCTATTTCTTCAGGGCCGACACTTCTATTCTATTCTATTCTACGTATTAAGAGCAGTGCCCGAGGCATCAAGTGTAGCCGAGAGACAGCAGAATTTTTTTTTTCATTTGAAGTTGGCATGAAGGTCATTCTNTGGATGTTGGGGTCACTGGTGTGGATGTTGGGGTCACTGGTGTGGATGTTGGGGTCACTGGTGTGGATGTTGGGGTCACTGGTGTGGATGTTGGGGTCACTGGTGTGGATGTTGGGGTCACTGGTGTGGATGTTGGGGTCACTGGTGTGGATGTTGGGGTCACTGGTGTGGATGTTGGGGTCACTGGTGTGGATGTTGGGGTCACTGGTGTGGATGTTGGGGTCACTGGTGTGGATGTTGGGGTCACTGGTGTGGATGTTGGGGTCACTGGTGTGGATGTTGGGGTCACTGGTGTGGATGTTGGGGTCACTGGTGTGGATGTTGGGGTCACTGGTGTGGATGTTGGGGTCACTGGTGTGGATGTTGGGGTCACTGGTGTGGATGTTGGGGTCACTGGTGTGGATGTTGGGGTCACTGGTGTGGATGTTGGGGTCACTGGTGTGGATGTTGGGGTCACTGTTGCGGATGTTGCTGAACCGAAAGTGAGGCTGCAATCAAACCTTGAGGCCGGTAATCCTGGCCACGGAGTTTCACCATGCGATACCCAAAGCAATAAATATTTTCATGCCTCCATTTTTTATAGAACAACTCAATGAGACTTCTGATTTTCAGGATCGTAAGTATAATTATCAAAAAATCATGTTAACGTCATTGCGATTTGAGATACCGAGAGGAAACAATATAGAAAAGTTGTGGAGACATCGAGTTTTCAAAATGTGCTTCGCTAGAAGATGGTTATAACTTTGCCATCGATAGTTTCTATTGTCGCTGGCAGTAGACAGATTATACTGTCTACTTATTAATGGTAGCCTTGTCCCTAAGTATTAAAATTTTCACAAAATCGATCGTGATTTTTAATAGCTTGCAATAAATAGACTGTAGAATTTCTAATTGTAAATAACTGGTGTAAATCAAGACATGCTATATAATGTATATTGTCATCCTTAACCTATTTTCGTCGCAGTTTGATAGGGGCGTTAATGGCCCTTAGATTTCTTCATGCGACTTGAAATTTAAGTGAGCACTAAGCATGAGAAGACTAGTAAATGTCCCTTTTTGTGCACTATTCGGAGAAAGTTCCACTATGCCTCGTTGCAACGTCATCTGCATCATCTTCAACCTTCAATGAATGAGGTTTGCCAATTATTTTTGTCACGTCCCATGAAAAGGCAAGTTTAACTCATCAGATAATCTCACTATAAGGTAAGTGCTCCCTGTTCTCTGCATTTATAATCATAATTTTAAGAACACTTCGGTTTCCTTCTTGAAGTGTGGGGCAAGGGCCAACTAATCCACGTCTTAAGTAAGCTAATTACAGCTTAATTAATCAACTACAATTATGAATCTCGTTTAGATCGAAGGGTTCTTGTCGAGAATCGAACTGCATATCGAACATATTTGATATACAGTCACAATAGATGTAGTTATTTCATATAATTATAAAATTGCTGAAGTGAGTTGTAAACTTATCAATCCGAGCTAGCAGTTTGCTCCAAATTGTAACAATAAGCTCGTGGATAAATGTTGCTCTAGACACTCAAAAATGACAAGCTACGATGCATCCCATAAAGAAATATTATTGACATACAGAACTGATGGCTGTAAGTACTTTAGATAGCAATATGATTATTCTACAGTATTATTCAATCTATTTGGTTATTCTGTAATAATTGAGATTAATAGCGGCTGTCAGGCGAATAATATTGATTAGGTAGATGAAGGAGGTGGGGTGAGACCTGAAGTGCGTTGCAGTATGTGGGTCAGCAGCAGTGAAAGTGAGTAGGAATGCCGCGCTGCAGCAGCAGCAGCAGCAGCAGCAGCAGCAGCAGCAGCAGCAGCAGCAGCAGCAGCAGCAGCTGTAGCAGTCGCTATCGCTGAAACAAGAGAGAAAGGACTTGCAGCTTCACTCATACACACATCAAAAAATGTCCTGTGAGTTGAAACTTCTGTTATGCAAACTTAAATTGGATCAAGAGCAGTAGATATTGGACGTTGAGTGGTAGACGGATAATGTTTCGTTTACCATGAGGTGTACTGCCATTTTTACACTCAGACGCAGTTATGATCATTCCAGCAGTACGTATAACAAAAATTATTACATAAAATCAGCCGTTGATTATAGCCAATATCTGCAAAGCGCGTTAAATTTTGAATTGTAAGCAGCAGCCAGCAAAAATTGCTACTAAGTTGCTCATGTAGCTTTTTAAAAATTAATTACACTCACAATTCATTAAGTGTAATTAGTGCATGGTAAGTGTAATTTATTTATTGCACATACAAGTTGCTCCTAAGAACTATTTTAAAACTACTTGAGGCTCGCATGTATGTACTTCCAGTAAAATTAGTCAGCAGCTCACGCAGTCGAGGCAGTGAGTAAAATTCATAAGGCGCTGCATGCGACCATGGAAGTGGACTGCTCGCTCCTACGCAGCTTCTACGCAGCGCCTGACTTCCCTGAACATTGAACAGGCGGCAGCTGCGGGCAAGCATGCGAACGATGTTACGTGCGGTTGACAACGTACGTGAACTGCAGCACGACTCGTGATGTGCAGCAGTCGCCCCCAGCCTTCACAAAGTACGAAAATACTAAATCATCGCAAAGTAGTACAAAAATACTAAATCATCGCAATGTAATAGTTAAGTGTACGATTTGTTTGTGGCTGCAGATAAAATTATAGCGATTTCTGGAATCGTCGCAAGATACAAATCGACTCGCGCTTGGTGTATCTACGTGCTCGGCTGTTTTGTAGCTTTGACTGCTTTGTAGCTCTTATGGCTGTTTTGTAGCCTTAAATAATCTTATTTCACCAATTTTTTTTTTATGAATAAGTAAAATATGGCATCCCTGCCTACAGCCCCTAATCTCAAACATGTCTGTTAAACAAACATTTTCGTGTACGCTTAAGCCTGCTCTTATTTTAATTTCCAAGCTTGTTTTTTTGGGTTCTGGAAGCTTGTTTCCAAGCTGAAGCCTTATTGCGCTGCTAGTACACCGAGCTGCGGACTTCGATCCCTTGGGATTTCTTTTAGGCTTATCATTTCTAGGCTCGATGTATCGCAGCTCCCATCAGCTCCTACACTAACGTCAGCCCATGACTTATTTTTCAGAATTTGTGCTGCTAGTTTTTAGCGCATTTTCTCATTTATGAAAAAAAATTCAATTTTGTGCTCGCCATGTCCGTCTGTCCGTCCATCCGTCCGTCTGTCTGTCTGTCTGTCCGACCGTGACTTCACGTTTTCGTCGACGAGAAAATGCGCTCTCTGTCACTCACTGCAGTGAGTACTGAGTTATATTTTTATATTCTTTATTTACTTCAATTTTATGACTCCGACCGTTAGGAAATTATCATAAGGTTTGCACAAAATTTTGAAAACTAAGGCGTTGAGTTGTTTAACTCTTATTGCTAACATAATATTATCTCTCTCGGTTTTGAGAAATTTCGTCCTTGTTAAACTTGCATATTTAAGAACACGACGCGGATGTCGAAACTTGAACTTTCGATAGGTAAACTGATAATTTTCTTTACCAGTTGAATGCATCGAAGGTTGACTAATTTTCTCCCTTAACTGGTCTCCAATTGCATAGTTAAAATTCTACTGGATTCAGTAGATTATAACGTTACAAAATTATGCTAGTCTGACATTGCTAAAAGATAAACTACAATAGCTTGTAGCAACTGGCCTCAAACTCATGTTTAGTTTACATATACTTGCACCGGAAAAGCTTGTGCTGTTAAGAATGCACACGACATACCCTCGTATCTTCCCCACTGTCCTCCATGGTGGAGATTGGCTCGTGCTTACTTGAGGAAGTTTTATGACTGTGCATTTCCTGCTTAATGAAAGCTTTGTATGCTAAAGTTCGATATTTTGCAAATATCTGCGTCATTTGAGCAATGATCGTAAAATTGTCATGATGAGGAGGTCATATCACTTCTCAACGGATTTCATTTGTATGCTTCGTGAAGTTTCTTGTTTTGCCCACGTGATATATACGTTGTCCCCCAGAAATATATTTGAGCAGTCCATCACTGAGAACACAATGCAGCCTTTGCAACAAGAATGCAGCTTTTTACGTTATCTTCACAAGATTATTTCATTATGTTCTTTAATTTGTTGGTAAAATAATATTCCATTGTATTTCGTCAGTTGGCCTGACGACGGAAGACTCACACCTTGTTGCCGGTGTGTCTCGTGTATCCGCGAAATTTGCGCTATGCTGCCTTGAACACACACGGAACACTTGTCAGAAGTTTTTTTTTACATAATGCAATGTATCACCGATTGCAATTAAATGATTTTGTGCTGAATTAAGGAACGTTTAATGTTGCCGTAATTTTTGGCAGTGATGACACCCGTTTGTCAAGGCGGGAAACAAAAAATCTGGATTTAGCTCATAGTTAATGCGTCTTGCTTTTTTTACTCTATTTATGCATGACTAGAATTACGAGCAGCTAAGTTTGGTGATCTTGGAGCAACAAGTTATCACTCCGGAGCAGATTCTCCATCCGTGTTCAAGGACATTTATCTCTGCAGAAAGTTTGATTGTATCTTATGAGCTTTCATACTACCTCCACATTTTTTTAGAAGGTCCGGCTTCAAGTCAGATTTCCTGTGACCTTGCCGAGCTTCCTGTTGGCGTCACTCGTCGGATCCCAACCTTCACTGAAGGTACTTTTACTGTTGCTTCACACGTCCGTCCAGCACTCGTCGCAAGCGTTCCCTACGATAGTGCTGCAACTGCTGGCGAGCTATAAAGGGATTTCCGTGCGTAGGGTAGCGCGCTCGTCTGGCCTTCGCTATAATGCGCATGACATTGAAGGTTCAGTAAAGTAAATATTGGTAGATGGGTACGGGGATAATCTCGACCTAGACTTCGCACAGAAGTTGAATTATCTAGTCGTTAGGAAAATGATGTTAAGTTGAATTATCTAGTCTTTAACTGATAATGTGGTTTTAGCTGTAGGTACTGAAGAAGTTTCTGTTCATCTAAAATTCATAGCGAAGAAAGTTTCTTCGTAAAGGTTCATTTCAAATGTAAAAAACTTTTTAAAGGAAGAGTTACATTTCATGGCTACAGCGCCCTCAGCGCTATGTTCCTGTGATACGTTCAGCACATTCTGTTCAGCACATTATCTTTTGTTCAACACATTTCCGGCAACATTCAAACTCATGTTAAGTCTCAAGAAACATTCATGTTTATAAATAGTTCTTGCGCAACATTTATGAAGCTCTTAGTAAGTCAGCACGTAACGTTCACGCTTGTGCTTAGTCGTTCGTCGTAACGTTCATGTCAGATCTATGTTCATGTACAACATTTGCAGGCGTGCATATTGATTACGTAACATGCGCACCAGCTTATTCTTATGCAACAACTACTCTCGTACAGTTTTCGAATCTTTTTCTCCAGGCAAATGACGTTGAAACAAAGTCGATTAAGAGCTGATTTTGTTAAAGCAATGTTTAATGAACGTTATTTCGACGTCAGAAGCCTGGTGCGTTCATGCTTACATACATAGTTCCACCACATCAACTATACTCGATGTACTTTACTCTAATGTAATTTATGTTCTTAATTAATGTACTTGCAATTTTGTATCATTTGCATAAGTATTATATACTAACATAACTTTTGGAAAGATTACTCTGGGATTTTGAATTGAAGTGCAATCGCTGAGCTCGGCCGGGGAATTCCAACGACTGCCCCTGACCTCCCTGGAAACCGGACGACGAGCCGGTTCACCGCTACCGCGTCCTTTGAGAAGAAACCGAACCGATCTCGTTCTTACTGGTAGTAATGGGATCTTATTGCAGGAAATGCATAAAAAATTGACTCCTTTATTCATCGTTCCAAGCGTCATCGTTTGCTTCCACTTTTTACACATAGACTCGAAGATTGAAGCAACTGTTCGCGTCATCCAGGTTCAACTAGATGTTGAATATATATACCTGTGCGTGAAAAAAATTTAAATTATGTTATGCTTCGTTGGTTATTTCCCGTTTTTCACGTGTAGAATCAGCTTAAATCAGCTTTTATTGTCCAACCTACTGTATGTGTTAACAAATCATTAATCAATCAAAAAATCATCATTTTCTAATACTTGTGTGAGGTTTATTTAACGATACCGCAAACGTTTGAACGAGGAGACGCCCTAATGCCAGCTCATAATTTCCCCCAACATCAAGTTTTTTGTACAAATTTTAGAGTACGTCAAGCGCCCGATTCCGGGTTCTTGTCCGGGGATTGCACCAGTTTTAGGTGGTTATGCGCAGTAAAGATTTTTGCGGATGAAAATGAGTTTTTTTGCGGCGTAATTTCTAGTACAGCTTCGATGTAATTCAGAACTTTTTTGTAGTCGAATGAAAGGGTACGTGACTCGTCTTTACACGCCTTACATTTTCGAAATTTTCATTCGTGCTTAGCAAATGATCAAGTTTACTTTACGTATGCGTAGTTAATTTTAAATTCTGAATGAATCCAAATTTGTTCAGTTTCGGCTGCGCATCAAATTACTTCATTGCAATTATAGCCAAACGCTGAGAAATCTTACGATGCGTTTGCCACATATGGAGTGCACTCTTGTATGGAAGAAATCTCTCACGTATATAAATTCACTAATATACGGAGAAAGATAAACACTTCGTGTGTGCGACAAACATATTTGATTTACTCTAGAAGATTATGGGTACAAAGCGGTGCACATGGAATATACGTATTTACTAAATCTACAGAACCCTATATACGAGTGACTAAAACCACATTTTTTGTTCCTTTATGAAGATAACGCCTTACAATTATTAGAAATGTAACCGCGACTTTTCCGAATCACATCACTGTCGTAAACCCTCGTTTGAGGCTGCAAATTCAAGCACGGTAATCGTGACGGTTTAAATAAGTTTTGTTCCGCAAATCTTTTGAACTTATCGATGCCTTTGTCGGCTGCGTTGCGAAGGATTCGGACAACGGCCAGGGTCAGAGGAATTGATTTAGATGACGCAGCAGCACAGCGTCTGTGGGCTAAAAATTGCTCAGTTTAATCGCACAAGTCACCTTGAAATGCTGCGGTCACCTAAGCTAAAATAATAATATTAGTTTAGAGAAGTTTGTTTCGAGAATAAATGAGGTGTAAGAATTTTTATTGGCCTCAGGTAAACTGAAAAAGCGCTCTGCAAATAGCGTATCTTGAATGCAACTAAGTATTGAATTTTCGCCTATTTTTACATAATCCATGAGTAAATTATCGTTGATAGTTAAAAAATTACTCGATTTCTCGTAATTTTATTCCCATCCATTCACAAAAAAAAACTTTCTTACTAATCGGCTGATACATTCAAGGATCGTTGTGAGGCAGGACCTATACGAGTGAAGATTTTTTGGCAAGCTCGTCCTTGCATACCTTTTTGCTTAGTGCCGTCTTCGATTCCTCTGGGCCTCTAGTGAGGTCCCCATAGGTAATAATTATCAGCTCTAATGTATGCATTCTGTTTATTAAACTTCCGTGGTTGTTCTCAGATACCAGGCACGTAGGTGCAACAAGGGTGCATATGTCCGATGTCCAATGACCTCCTGACACACTTTCTGATTGGTACGGGAATCCCTGTAGGATATATGCAGTATATGCACACGTTTAGCAGCAATTCAGGTAGGATGCTCACATTGCATCAGGGGTTCAGGTAGGATGCAGACGTGGCAGCAGCGGTTCAGGTAGGATGCAGACGTGGCAGCAGCGGTTCAGGTAGGATGCAGACGTTGCAGCAGCGGTTCAGGTAGGATGCAGACGTTGCAGCAGCGGTTCAGGTAGGATGCAGACGTTGCAGCAGCGGTTCAGGTAGGATGCAGCCGTTGCAGCAGCGGTTCAGGTAGGATGCAAAACATTGCAGCAGTGGTTTAGGTAGGATGTACTGTACACGTTGCACTATTAGTTCAGGTAGGATGTGCAGAACGTTGCCACAGGGGTATAAGTAGGATCATGCAAGAAATGACAGTTTTATTGGAAGTTTTGCAGACGTTATTACAGAGGTTCAGTACGTAGCGCTCCAATACCTGCGTAGTTAATTATTTATTTCACTTACATTTATTTGGATCATACAAAATTGAAGTATTTTTTTAGGGAAGTCAAGGAATAAAACTTTTTCGGCGCAATATATAAGTTTTTAATTTACGGCGTTTCAAAATTTATTAACAATCACGTGAAAGGTAATTCATTCAGAGGAAATTTCCTGCATGAGTATAAATAAGATTTAGAACGCAATAACTCGGAAACGATGTTATTGAGTTCGAAATATGTTTCTTTTTTCCATTTTACATCAAAAACATATTGCATATTAAATAATTACTTGTATTAAATCATTACTAGCTCGAGTAAGGAGGAAGACGTTGCAGTGGAGGTTCAGTACAGGACGCTGCAGTGGCTGTAAGTAGGGGACAGACGTTGCAGTACAAATTCAGTATGTGACGCTGCAGTGGCTGTAAGTAGCGGACAGACGTTGCAGTACAAATTCATTATGTGACGCTGCAGTGGCTGTAAGTAGGGGACAGACGTTGCAGTACAAATTCAGTATGTGACGTGGCAGTGGCTGTAAGTAGGGGACAGACGTTGCAGTACAAATTCAGTATGTGACGTGGCAGTTCCTGCAAGGCAGGATGCTGACGTCAGAGCATAGGTTCAGTGACACAGCGACTTAGGCAAAAAATCTTCCAGTGAATTTAAAGCGCAAAATATGCCATTGCGCAATCACACACCATGGACCAGAGCATTGCTTTTGGCAGTAAGGCGATTA